ATGTTTTGTTTGGTTTTAACGTAATCACCTAGCTGGTGGATGATCAGAACTTTCACTTTCTCTGGTGCCTCCCCCTTTGGTATGACTCCTTCGACTACTATTTCTCTTCTTTGGTTGTTTACTGTGGCAATTTGAACAATACCATTTTCCCCTTGGCATCTGAAAGTACATTACATGTAAACGAGTGTAATCGCGGGACGAGTTTACGTAATACTTTGAACCGATTAGCGTGATTAAATAACTGAACCGCGGACGTGTTTATGCAAATATAGGTTTTTAGGGAATCCATGATTGGCAATAATTAACGATCAATAATTATTATTAATCGATGACCAGTAATTATGAATAATCAATCATCATTATGGAATTAGTAGTCATATAAAAATTCAGTTTCTTTATGGAAGATTCTATAGGGATTAAAACAAAGCAAACATCTGAATACGTTGTAGGAAACTTCAATCTTAAACAAATGTATCTCCTATAAATGCATAAAATCCACAGTTTCGTAATAGAAAACACGACTCACTTTTGGCATGACAGGATTATGACAGTCGGTGTGGTAAGCCCGCGGGCAAAGCTCGCACAACACTAAGTTTTTGCCAACTCTTTTCCCGCATACCAAACAGTTTCGTTCCCCTGTCGCTTTGTTCATGCACTCGTGACAATACCTGAAAGCGATCCGACGGATCGATTAATCGGAGAATCTCACCGGTGATTAATTCTAATCGAAACATCCAAGCCGCGACTACTCACCAGTCACCATCAGGAATGTTTTCCATTTTTGGACGGAAGCAGTAAGTATGGTAGCCACGGTCACAGCCATCGCACAGTAGCAACTTGTCCTCGTTATCTCCGCTGTGACAGAACTGACAATTCTGCAACAGAAAGGAAAGCTCTCGAATGTTAATATCGTCGGAACGCGCCCGACGATCGCGTGAAACTAAAATTGGCTTTGATTCGTTTTAAGCGCCGTTCAGTAAAGAAGCGTATTAAAACAAAGTATCACATTGATGCAATAATAAATGTTAATGTGAAAGAAACAGGGTCATTCAACGAGGCGGGAAGTAAACGGGGTAAGCCGGTGGTTTCAATGGATTCGACCGTAAAAAACATAAGCGATGCAATGTAATACGCGGTTCGTCGTGCAGTTCGGTCCCGCGTCGCTTCGAATTCGTAATCGTGCGACATCGGGGTCGGGCCGAACGAAACGAAACTTGATTGTTGTATGAATATGCATTTTGTTGGCATTAACCGGGGATGATCGGTTAAACACGAAATAAATGTAAAAAAGAAGCGTTACCTCTACGAAAGGAAAGATACGAAGCGTTAAAGGAAAAAATGACTAGACGACAAGCGGTTTATTCGTTGGCATGCTACCGTTACGTTAGACTCTAACCACCATTCGACATACTGATATGTCTTGTCTCAATGAAATCACGAAGCTCGAACGTCTCGTGTAAAACGCTTGTGTTCCCATCGATCGAAGTCGAACGAAACGAACGTTAATATTCGCAAATATATAACTGCCGCGTTATCATTAAGAAACCTTTCACCATGTTCCAAAGAAGTATCATAATTATATAGAAAAAGTGCCACGCGAAGAGCATCTCGTTTAATGTAAAACACTACGAGCCTTTGATAAAAAGCCTCTCAAAATAATTTGTTCTCTTCTTATCGTCGATTAAAACCGATATGCTCTCTGTGGTTCACTGTGCGGGACGGGCGACAGAGTTTTTATAACGCAAGGAAATAAAGGATTAGCTTGGTTAGTAAAGTTAGTGCGAATACCCACAGAGGCCTGAGAAGTAGTCAATAGCTGATTGTACTGATTGGTAGCTTTGAGTGAGACGCAGCGGTTTCGTAGCTTGACGCAGACCGAGTTTCTAGCTGGTGTTAGACTCACAGCCTTCATGATGCTCTTGTCCCAGGCGATGCTGGCCTCCAACATGTAAAGCGCCATCGCGAGCTGAGCTGACGTGTGGGCACGGGCTGTCGCCTCGCGCCAATTGTTCAGCCCCCTCGGGGTCGTTTCTTCTTGAGGTACCGGGGTCTGATTGCTCTGATCCGAGTTATTCGAGTTCGCGTTCGCAGCCGCTGCTTGTTCCGCCTTCAAGGCTGCTAGGTTTGGATCTCCAGTGCTGGAACACCATAGTACACCAATATAATCCATAATTTTATTAAATTAAATCAAATTGAATCAAATTAAATCAAATTCAATTAAACAAATTCAATACATTCGTAATTTCGATCGCAGAAGAACTAAACATAAACTGCTTAATCGAAGTCTTCACGATATCATCAATTTTTCATCCTAAACTTTCATGTATAGTAAAGTAAGCAAAGACTTGTGATTTACTGTGCTTCTCGGCTAACTAGAAATTATCGCAGCGAAAGAATGTTACCAAAATCTTTGACCAAAACTAAATGAATCAGATCAGATGTTATTTAGAAAGGGCGATATGTTGTGCAATTTCCATACTTAATCTTCCCAAGATCAATGACAAACGACTGCCGACTAAAACTCTTACCAAACTCCCAACGGCGGCTTCAAGTATCTCCTCTCTATCGCCGCCTCCAAAGACAATAACCTCTGCCGTGCCTGCTCCACTGCGCTGATCTTCTCCATTTCGTTGAGCTTCTCAATCTCTTCGGCCTCCTCGGTGCCCGCCCGCGGAGGCAGTTTCCAGCCTTTGACCTGCATGCTGGCGTTCGCGACCTTGTCCTCCAGTGCCTCGACTTGCTCTAAGAGCTGCGCGTCCACGCGTAGTGCGACCTGCTCGCTCCAGATCTCCGGGTTGTCAGGTTTCGGGATCGGCGTGTCGGGCTCGTCGGGCGTTCCTTGAAGCTCGGTGGCGGTCAAATTGCCAGGGTCAACGTTGATTCTGCCCGTGACCGCCAAGAATGACTCCATCGTTGCCCACGTAGTACGTTTCAGTTCTTTTTCGCGGACACCGCGGGAATGAAGGTGTTCCAACAGTTCTTGAAACGTGTCGACGTCCGTTATTCTCCACCATCCGTACCGTAGATCTAGAAATAGACGACGAACAATGTTAATTGCTTGCAAACTTGACTCGTGAAACAGGAATTTGCATATGATCAACAACGATGCTAGTACCTTTCTGCACAGGTTTAGCTTCTCCAGGAGGTGGCAAGCCGTGCACTTTCAGGTACTCTAGCTGCACCGCCTCGTCCTGCGTCAGGATCAAGGGTGCTGGACTGTCGCACCTGTCGTAACTCGGGCTAACCGGTGGCGGGAAAACTGGTATTCTCAGCTCAGTCGGCTCGGCTATCCCGAAGATCTGCTTGGTACTCGGTCCAGGGGTGTCGCAAGTCTCGCGCGGTAGAATCGAAAACCAGCTGGACTCGTTTCCGTTGTCTATAAAATAGTAAATAAAAAGGATATTAACTGTTCAATTTCAGAATCATTCGAATAGTGAAGAATTGTTTTGTTCAATCTTACTGGAAATAAACGTGCCGTTCAGTTCCTTCCCGTTATGAATATTGTTCACGTGATTGAACTTATCGCCGTTGGGAATAGTCTCGACGATTTTATCTTCCATCGTCTTCACAGGCTTCATGTCCTCGTCCATGTCTTCGGTCTCCTTCTTCGTGTCTTCGACTTTCACGTCCACGTCCATGTTCACCACCTCCGTCTCCTGTTTAATCTCCTCTGACGTGACATTGGTCTTCGCGTCGCTCATACCGTCCACATCGTGTTTCTTCTCCTCTTTGATGCTCGTCGAGTTCTCCGTGCCACAGTTCTGCACCTGTTCCTTCTTGCAGTTCACGTCCTCCGATTCTGACCTGGTCTTATCCAATTGCGGCTTGACGTCCTCATCTTGATCATTCGAATTGTATTTTTTCTCCTCTTTCACGTCGTTCGGCGCTTCGTTCTCCCGATTCTCGGAGTTTCCCTTGGTGTCCTCCTGCTTCGTCTCGGGCTTCTCCTCGACCGGCATGTTTTTGTACTTTTCGTCCAGTTCGGCTTGCAGTTCCAAGGTTTCCGGCTCGGCGCTCTCCATCGCCTCCACGAAGATGCCGCCGGCGCACGCCAGCTCCCAATATCTTCTCCAGTACCTGTCCTGCCCGAATATGTGAGCGCGCAGCTGCTTGGAGGAACTGTTCAGTTTCTGTAACTGTTCCTCCGACTGTTTCAGCAGCTTGTCCAGCTTCTTGCCTAGTTCCTCGCCTGATAGATTCTTGTCCTCCTCCTTTAAAAATAACCAATCCAGTGAGAACTTTTAGAAATTTCGATTAATCAAGAACCTACGACTTTTACCTCCTCCGGCTGAGTTCCTTCACTCTCGTTCTCAGACATGTCCTCCACCTCGTCTTCGTGATGACTTTCGTCGGGCGTAGGCGTCGTTCCCACCGCCGTCGACGTCGAATTACCTTCCTCGTCCACTTCCTTCTTCTCTATAGTGATAGTGTCCCCGGTTTTATTCACGATCACACCGACCGCTTCCATCCGGACCTTTCGATTGTGTAGTTGTCTGAGTCTGAGGACACATGTTACAAAACCATTAAGAATTGCGAATGGACCAATATTTAATATTATCATTTCATACTGACACGTTCAGTTCTTATTGAATACTGAGAAAAATACCTACTGGTACCTCTAATATAAACAAATATGCAATAATTAAATGCGATCTCACAAGAATAAGAAAAAGGTCTTGGTTCTACGAAGAAGTCTCCAAGTACTCGTCAACAATAATATTCCCGCGGCACTCACTTTCTAATCTTGGTGTCCAAAACAAATCTCTCCTTTCTTAGCTGAGCCACCGTCTCCAAGCTTCCCTCAATCTGTCTGATCACAGCCTTATTCTGCAACAGCTCGTTGCAGAGGAACGCGAGCATCTGCGCCTTGTGTGTCGGGTTCAGGGCCAGAAACGGCTTGTCCCGGAGTCTCTCGGACATCCTCCAGGTCTCGTTATTATGCAAATGTTCGTAGAACTGGGCGTTTTTCCCTGAACAGGTCGAGGCGTAGTCACCGCCGTTTTGATGATGATCGGCGAACTTCTTGTCGCGTTCCCGTTCGAGACAGACGCCAGTCAAAGCTTTCACCTCGCCGGTTGCGTTCGCGTACAAGTAGATCCGCAACACCTCGCTGATGTTCGCGTGCGTGATGTCCGCTTGTCGTAGGCTCTGTCCAAGACCCGTCGTGTGCCTTGCCGGCTGGGGGATTCCAGGATCCTCTATGGCGCACACTAGAAGGTGGGTCATCACCGAAAGCATCTCCTCTTCCGCTTCCTCGTCGTTTAAAAGCGCCAACTGAAGACTCTTCAGGCTCGGCAAGGAATCCATGTCTATTAGAGTCAAATGTGATCATCATCGCAATTTATAATATTATCAATCCTCCAAAAGTAGGCATAGCAGAAAACTAAAGGAAATTTCTCAAGATTTTCATCCTCTTCCAAATATAGCATCACGGACAAGTTTTGATTCTTGTAAATAATATGTAAATATGTATTTCAAATAGGAAATTATTACTTGGAAAAAGTAAACTCGTTGATAAAGAATATGTAACGAACTTTTTTAGATTTTCTACTTTGCTAGATGAAATATAGTTTCCCGACGGCAATCTTGATCGCGTAAGGGGCAAGAAATAATTTTTTAAGAGTATCACATTTTTCATGTTTAGCAACTAGCAGCCTGAGGGGTAGCAGCCCTACAGTTCTTCCGGAATTAACGACGCAGCCACTCACCGAAGCCCAAAGTTTCCCCGAAGTTGTGCAGAAACTCGAACACCATCACGATGTCCGCGAAAGCTTGGCCGGACAACTTGAGCCCAGGTAATCTTTTCAGTTCTGGCAGTGGTCTATGATCTGGAATCGGAAGGGGGGGCAATTAGTTGGGGAAATTTTACTCGAGCGTTTAATGAAAATCCTCCCGGGGCCGCGCACCTGTCAGCTCCATGTCCTCCACAGGTTTTCTGATTTGCTCGATCAATTCCATCTCCATCTTCCTTTGTTCGGCGCGTTTCTCTTTCGACGCTATTCTTTCGGCCCTCGCCTCGAGACGTTTCTTCTCCCTTTCCTCCATCTTCCGGCGGTTCTCCAATGCCCGCACCAACGCCATGTGCTGTCTCCTTCTCTCCCTCTCCTGCGATACCCAACCGAAACGATTGAACCGACCGGCAGAAACGGCAACGTTTGAGCGTTCATGCAGCATCGACAAAAGAGATCTCGTGACAATCCGTTCGAAAGCACAACTGTTTTTGTTCATTTGGCACGCACGGGCTACGACAAACTCTCTACCAACCGACCCAAAAAATACTTGTCAGGAAGCTACGCATGACAGTGATGTATAACACGGATGCAATGTAGAAACCTCATTTAAGATCGATTTCCTTTTTTGTTTTTGATCTCTTTTTAGTTCCAAAAATACGTCGTGCAACTCTTACCCAAACACACTCTTCGATATTTCGGCCACACCATGAATTTTTGTTCGGTGACTGATAGGCAGTCGTTAGCGATGGATGCAAGGTAGTTTTAATCGCGAGTTCACCGAGCAACTCATTCAAGTTCTTCCAAGTTCAGTTTCAAGGAAATCTTAGGTATTTCAAAGTAATAACAGATTCTAGGAGACGTAAACATAATAATCATTCAGATTGCGAAACGAATGATGATTCATAATGTTTTTTTTTAACGTTCTGTTACTCATTCACACATTTGTATAATACGAGTTCCCCGTAAGAAGTAAAAACTATGTAAACTTTTAGGGTTAAAATTCGGAATGGTACGTCTAAAACAGTATAAAATACGTATTGTTTTATTCTATTATATAACTACTTAAGCTTTTATCCCATCACTGACGACTGCTGTCTACCGAAACAAAACTCGTTCGTAGTCGTTACTTTAAAAAGAACACTGTCTTGTACTATTCCTTAGGTGACAAACCGTGAACCGTCTCCTCATAAGCCAATCGAACGTCCGTTTAATAATTTCTCAAATAATTCGTGCGGAGAGAATTTGAACGTTAATAACGTGAGATACTTTGATCGGTGTGAACGAAGCATAATGAAGCACCTACGATGCGTAATGACTGGTCACGAACATGTATTGTCGTCGCGGATACTGGTTAGTGAACGTGGATATCTCGAAAAGCGGATATTAACGTGGTTGATTCTATTTGAGGAAGTCGTGAGCACAACTTCCTTCGAATAATATTAACAGTGAGTGTTCTCGGTCGTGAAAATCCGAGATAGAACATTTTAGGACCATATCAAACTCAGGCACTCGTGTTCTATCAATTAATTACCAAATTATATTCGCATGTTTTCCATCCTTTATTTTAATTCTCTCATACATTAGGGCAGAAAACACGAAAATACACTTGTTAGTCGATCGATAGTCATCAAATGTCACGTTAAGTAAGGTCCATAATGTTAAACTCTCGTTAAACGTGTTCTTTCGTCGATCATTCGTTGAAGATTAGTAACAATGTCGAATCTTCGACTAAAAATCAACTTCGATGTGCAGGCTAGTCTCGAGTACTAACTCACAATCAAACGTGATACTTTTAAACTCCTCGGCCGAGCTCGATTTTACTGCCCTTAGTGTAAAGTATTTAATCGAATCTGTTATGGAAATAATTTAGCATCGACAGTAAAAAGTCTTTCAATTAATAGCTACGGAAATAGAACAAAACGCTATTCTCCACATAAATGAAATACTAGTATAGAAAAATAATATTTTTCTCTTTTCTTAACAGAAATTTGAAGAATTCTTTAATCAACCCCATAAATCATTTCTATCGTCATCCCCCTGCTGTCTGAAATTTTCCTGTAAATTGAAATTTATTTTAATTTTCATCCCTATCTTTAATTTACTAGTCAACTGTTCCGTTCTATTTCTTTAATACATATCATCTCCTTGATGTTGTATCAAATGAATTTTAATCAAACACTTTCGACCACGGGCAGTTATGGTCGGAAATTTGATATTCACCGTCGACCGATTAAATCTTTAATTGGTTAACGCATTACGGAATAATAGGAATTCAATACTAGCGGAAGATTTCATCGAGAGACGGTGAATTCAGCGATCGACAACGATCAGAGGCCGGCGAGCAGTTTAAGGTACTCGAGACGCGATCCGTTCCGTTTAGTGAGGTCGTCTTATTAAACTAGATTGGGTATGAGACATACCAGCTCGACGGTGTAGAGCATCTCGCGCTGCTTGGTGAGCTCCTGCATGTACATCTGCGGCACAAAACATATCCACAGTCCACCAGTGCTCAAACTACCTCTAAGCTCAGGCTAACAGTACTTCTCGCTCTCGTTTGCAGGACTCGATCGATATTCCGAATCGCGAGCAATATACAGAAACTAAAAAGCTTGCAGTACTGCACTATATTCTCTTTCTTTTCTCCGATTCGTTAACAATTACATTTCAAAAAAAAGCAGAGAAAACTATCATGTTGCAGCAAGTTACATACAAAAATTCTCTACGATCGATTTCCATTTACATTGTTCTTCACTCCCGGCGTAACTTTTCGAGAAAAACCTGTTCTTATTGAACTACACCGAGGACACGTAGACAAAGGTCGCATCCCCGTTCAATTCGAACACGAGATCTACGTTCGCAACCAAGGACACGATAAACAACGAGTAAAACAACTAATATACGAGAAGCACACGTGTAACAGAAGTTCGACAATGCGTGTAATCTATGGGAACAAAACCGAGGGAAAGTGAAGTACAACACGGTAATAGAGAAGGGCAAGATAGTTTGCGAATGAAATCGAGTACAATTATGATCTCCTCACCGTCGCGCAGCTTCGCGTTCTGGAAATTAATGTATGTGATATCGGCAGTTAAAAATTCACGGGGAAAAA